AATGCTATTTAAGCAGCATCTAAAATTTGTCTCATAGGTAACGTTAAGGTGCTAGGTCGAAGCTTTTTCCCTTTAGGATCATTTCTTAATATAACCTATTAATCCAATTAAATATGTACTTTCATTTATTAAAAGAATAAATTTAAACGTTGGCTTATTTATAGTTACATTATCATCCTTCATGTGGTTTATCTTATTTGAATTTTTTATATTTTTCCTTTAAGTCATTCCTTTTTCACTTAATATGTTATATATATATGACCGATTACTATGAGCTAATTTTTTTCCGTAGTCTGCTGATATTTTGGTAAAAGGAGAGTCTAATGATTAGAATTATTGTTTCAGAGAATTAGATAATTTTGAATTCCTCTTTATAGATTATAAGATTGTGAATCACTACTAATTCTTGTCGGATCAGATTAATTACTTAAGGACTATTCAAACCAAATTTGATGTGCTTATGAAATTTTCAATTTATACTGTTACGTATATTTAATATTAAAAAACTGTTTTATAATACCAATCAAAGATTGCTTTGTATTTAATTCTCGATTATTAATATCAACTGATTTTAGTAAATTTGTTATCCATTCAGAAATCATTAGAATAAATTGAAATTGATTTTACTTTAACTCAATATAAACAGGCATGTATCACTCTCTAAACAAGGATATGGATAAAATATGTAAAGCTGGATACAAATTCAAGAAATGTTATATGGAGCAGTTCTATAATTTCTATTGATCTCTTGTTCAGTTATTCCAAATGTAGATTTAATTCTTTCCATCTTCAATGACACTGTATCGTTTATGAGAATCGGACTCCTGAGTAGAAAATTAATGGAGGATCTAATACAAATTAATCTCACTTCCTCTCTGATATTGGTTGTCAATCTTTCTTTAATAGTAATTGATAGTTAGACATCAATGTATCCTTATAAGACTATTTAGGGCATCACTATTTGACTGAATTTCCGAATCTCACTATTTCTAATTATTATATCACATTATAATTTATATTAAGTATATAAGATTTTTTAGTGTTTTAGTTTAAATTGTTTCTATTTAATTCAATATTTATTAATTAAAAATGATTTAATCGAAGATGATAGAAAAAGAAGAGGAACTTCAATGCTCTTTAAAGCATAAACTTCCTGTCCTTATGATTGTTTGTGATGAAAAATTAAAGAGAAACGAGAGACTTTTATGCTCTGAATGCATGGAAAATTATGAATCAAAATCTTAGTTAATGAGTTTTAAAAAAGTCTTATAGAATATAGAGGAAAATCAAAAATAAAAGTAAAAAAACGTTGAGAATGTGATGATGATCCGTATCAAACTCATTGAAGAAATATAAAGAGGTCTCTTTTTATTAAAATCTAATGTAGTTTAATTATTAGATTAAATTATTGGAAATGTAGATGAATGGATTAAACATATAATCATAATTGGGTAATAAAATGTTACTTATAGTTTTTATAATGAATTGGAAAATCTAATTAACTAAAAAAGATTAGAAGAATTCGCTTAGATATAATTAATTGATCAAATTAATTAAATTTAATTATCATACAATCAAAAAATTGAAAAGAAACTAAATTTATTCAAATCATTTTCAGAAGGTTAAAATTGTGAAAACATATTAAATCAGTTAAGAAATGCAAATGAAACAAAAGAGAATACAGGAAAGAAAATATTGATTTTAGTAAAGTATGAAGTTATTATTTAGGGTGAAAAGGCAATGGAATAAGTTGGCGATGAATAGAAGTAATTAGAATAATAGTTGATGAAGTATAAATAAGTTCAATTTAATTTTATTGATGATTCAAATTAATAGAATAGTAGTTGTAAAGCAATAGTGTTCAACAAAGATGAATCAATTATGATTTCATGTGATAATTGTGGGATTAAAATATGGAAATTTGAATAAGGAAGATTTAAATTATCTAATACTTATGATAAACATAGCAACCCTGTTAGGTGTTTAGTGTATAGCAAATAAACAAATAACTTTATTTCTGGTTGTATCAATCACTAAATTATATGTTGGTAATAAATTAATCAAAATGAGTGGAAGTGTTCATAACCATTCGAGTAACATACTGATAGTGTTAATTGTTTATTATTAAATAAATAAGAAGATCAACTTATTTCAGGAGGAGATGATGATAAGATAATTGTATGGAAAGTAGATTTTATTAAGAATGATCTGACTTTTCTGTATTCCTGAGATTAGCATAGAAATGGTATATTGTCACTGAGTTTTAATTAATCTGAAACTGTATTGGCATCATGTGGTTATGAAGAATTCATAATTTGGGAGAAAGGATTGTAAGGAAAATGGGAATTTAAATATAATTAGGATGTTGAAGTTGGATATAAAATCCATTTTATTAATGATTAATTATTTCTTTGGGTAACTTTAGAAATGAATGATATTTTGGTATTTGAATTATAGAATGGAGTTTTTAAATAGAATTCAAATAAAACTATTTCTTTAATTAAGAATAATGAATGTGAAGATAGTTATTTATTTCCAATTATACATAATAAAGATAGAAATGTGATATTGGTAAGACACAAACACCATATCTATTTGATTAGACAATTAAATGATGGCACATTTGATATTCTTGCATCATTAAATTCTTAAACTACAGACACTTATGGAACTATCACCAATAATGCCTAATATTTAGTATTTTGGGATAACAAATCTAATAAATATTCATCATATGAGATATAATATATATGAAGTCTAAAAGTATTTATCATTTTTATAATAATAATAATTAAATCAATTATTTTAAAATTGTTAGAATTAATAATTTAACTTTTTGAAAACTAAAAAGGATTAAGTTAGCATAGTTTTTTTATTTATGATATGTTTGGAAATTTAAATATTAATTTTGATTCTAAATAAAGTTGATATTGTGTTTTCTATAATTAAGTTTACTATTTAATGTGTTTGATTCCTTTTAAGTTTCGAAAAATAACTTTATTTAAACTATAAAGGTATGCGATATAAATAAAAGATTCTCTAAAATATGAAAAAACTAATATACTATATATTTCAATTATTTTTAAATTATTATAATCATATTGATCTAAAGGATAGAGTTATATTACATAAAAATCACATTAATTTTAATATTAAAACTAAATAGTTGACAGATTATTCTTAAACACAAAGTAAATTGGATCTTTATAATAAAAACTATTTGATTAGCTATTTGAAAAAAATATGTAAATTATCAAATGCGAGACAAAATGATATATAGCGGTTAAGGTTTGCAAATAGGAAGTAATTTAGATAATTAGAGCATAATATGGCTTATAATACATTTATGTTATTTTCTAAGAAACGCATTTCATCTAATTCGTAAAGAAATAAAACAAAATTAATATTAATCCTACTTCATCAATTTTTAAGGTGATTACAAACATTGAAATTATTCCATAATGTGTACTAATATTTAGAGAACTCTTGCACAGTTTTAATCTTAACTAATCTGTATTAATTTGCCATTTAAAATTGAAAGAAGATTTTATGCAAAAGAATCAGGCGGAAGAGCAACTAGTAAATTCTCTTTAATAAAAACAGATCTTGTATATGGGAAAAGAGATATTTTACAATAATTTAGCACTTACTACTTTAAAAATGCTTGGAAAGCAAAGATGTGAATTAGAGAATGGCAAAGTTTTAATTGCGATTTATAATATTTTTACTATGTTAAGAATCTAACTGTAATATTCTTTCCAAAGAAAATTATTCTTAAGAATAAAAATTATATAGATTATGTTAGTATATAAATGTAATTGTCTTTGTAATAGTATATACTAAAATATATCCTTTACTTAATGATCCAAATATTTGAAAATGCCATTAAAAAGTATGTCTCGATAAATTAGGATTTTTAAATACTCATCTTCACCAATACGAAAATTATTTTTTCATTATGAAACTATGATAGGAATATATAAAATCGGATTTATGGGGGAGTTAAGATTTATTTTTTGGAAGAAAAGATAATTAACAGCATATTTATTAGATGGTCAACCTGTTAAATAATCATTAAATCAATTTTCTAATTTTAGTGTTAAGACTTCCTTATTCTAAGAATTTATTAGCAAATTCTTCTTAAAGAACACGAAGAAAGAATGTGTTGGCATTACATCGCTATTTGTAAGAAATTATTACATAGTTATAGTGATTAAAGAAGATTCAGTAGTAGATTAAGGCATATTGCCGAATATAGGAATCTTGTTGTTATGTCTGAATAGAAAAGAAGATGTGACAATTAATTTATACTAACTATTTAAAGATGAAAGGATTTGTACCTTCTAAATACTTAAAGCTATAAGACTCATTCGAAAGTTATTATGCTTGAAGTGAGGAATCTATTATTCAAATGAATTAATCTATTCTTTACATAAAACACAAGATGATTAAATAAAAATAGAACTTAATATGATGTTACTGAAATATATGGCAACAAACATTTTCAAAGTAATTTTGATAATATGTGAATTAGTTGATGTCTCTATCCTAAACGATATCTTGTTTAAGCAAAGGCTTCAAAGCAATAATTTAACTGTTTAATAGCCATTATTATTTTTAATCAGTTGAGGTTTAAAATTCAAATAATATTCAGCAACTTTATTTGGAATACAATAATCAAAATTTGAAATAAATAGGTAGAAATGTGATGTGGAGACTTTTTGGAATTATTTTTAAACAAGTTTTCCATTTTAACAAGTGCATATTGATATTATAAAATGTTTTTGAAAATATTATTTTTTGGTTATATCCCCCTTTAGAGTTATCTCAATCTATTTCTTTAAGGTTAAGCTACAATTAATGTTTATGCCAAATCCTTAATTTTCCTACACATCATTATTTGATGAGCTTAGAGAAGAAGTCAAATAACTACTGCGTATTTAATCTAAAAATAATTAATTTTGGCTGGCCTTTCTAAAAAGAAGTAAAGAGACTTAAAATTCTGTTTCTAATCCTATTATAAAACAAATTAAAATTGATCTCTAAATCTTTAAGATAAATATCAAAAAGATAAATGGTCTTTAAGAGTAATATGCAGAATTCCGTAAACATCAATTTAACTTATTAGGATTACATTCAAATATAATATTGCAAGCAATTTACAAGACAACAGTTTGATTAGTATCCTATTGCTGCTGGTAGGAATTGTATTCTTACTGCAATTGAACTTCCAAAATACAGCTACATGGATTTGTAAGTTGTAAAATTTTAACAGTTCTTGAATGCGATTAATTATAATTTCTTAATCAAATAAATAAGATAGTGCTATTTTTAAATTTGATGAATGTATTTTCAAATTCAAAGAATTTGGATCATAAGCACAACTTTTGAGGAATAGTATTCAAATCTTCTCATAATTACCTTTGATTAAATAATTAATAGAACCAGTATCCATTTCAAATAATTTAGAATCTATCATTGGGTTTCTTAAATAGTTGTCTAAAAGCTGAAGTTGATCATAATTTTTTCTTAAAGTTTTATGTTCTCTGTTGTTTTCGAAGTTAAGATCACAAAGGATTCATTCTAACTTTGAAAATAGCTATTCAAAGCATTTCGTAGTTATCTTAACTGGTCAAAAATATTGATCTTAACTTAGACTTATGATTAATAGAAAAAATACTATTTCAGGGCAAATCATTAAGGTATATATTAAGACTAGAGAATTAGTTCAACAGTTAATTTTTATCAAAAAAAGAGAGATGATAAAGCAAAAGAAAAAATACTGAATCCACTTAAAGATGTTTTGGCTTGTCTGTGGACATAGATATTTAAACTCAATATATAATGTTAATAAATATCGAATATGAATTTATGTTCTTGTGTAATTTAAAAAGTATAAATGACTTTCGCAAAACCTAATATAAATGAATCGTATTTTAGTTATCTAATATCTGAAAAAGAAGATAGTGAGTATTTTATTTTTAAAATCAAAAAAGAATTTCGTTTTTAAAATAATAATCCATCATATAACAGTAATACCAGGGTCAAGTCAGATTTAATCAAAATCATATTAACATAGACAGAGTTTAACTTTCACTGATAAAATAGGAGAAGTACTGATTCAAGAACTTCAAAAGTGTTTGTAGGATGATTTTCATACTTTGGACATGGTGTTTTTCCTGATTAAACTCCGGTACTATCTACTTCTCATTAATTCTCAATTAATAAATGACGAATCCATTTTCTAGATGGAATGGCAATCCAATACTGGTAAAAAACTTAAGAATATTTTGTGATCAGCCAAAATACCAATGAGATATAACTAGTGAACTTGATAGTTTGGAGGGTCATATTAACCAAAACTTATGGGGAAGGTATGGAGCAAAATACTGATAAGAAAGATAAGTGTGAGAATATCCTTCCAGTTCAAACTGGTCCAATCCTTTTCTTCAAGGCAAACAAAAAAGATGGAACCAAAATATAAGTTATCTTTGTTGAAGGGCAAGCTCGCAAAATGGAGACCAAAATCATGCGTTATACAAAGAAGGCACTTAAGTTGATAAGCTCCCACATTTTAAAACAATAAGAGGCGAATGTCATAAATAATACAAACTTTTCTTATGTGAAAGATTTCTTGAAAAAAGATGATTATTAATCCTTAGGATGATTACTCATGGAGAATTAAGATTTCTAATACTACAGAAAATGGAATTTTTAAAAGCCTATCTAGCCATACTTCATCTTTAGAGAGACCGAAATGTTTTCGTCCTTAAAAGAAACGATGCAATATGGGTANAATTTGATGAATGTATTTTCAAATTCAAAGAATTTGGATCATAAGCACAACTTTTGAGGGATAGTATTCAAATCTTCTCATAATTACCTTTGATTAAATAATTAATAGAACCAGTATCCATTTCAAATAATTTAGAATCTATCATTGGGTTTCTTAAATAGTTGTCTAAAAGCTGAAGTTGATCATAATTTTTTCTTAAAGTTTTATGTTCTCTGTTGATTTCGAAGTTAAGATCACAAAGGATTCATTCTAACTTTGAAAATAGCTATTCAAAGCATTTCGTAGTTATCTTAACTGGTCAAAAATATTGATCTTAACTTAGACTTATGATTAATAGAAAAAATACTATTTCAGGGCAAATCATTAAGGTATATATTAAGACTAGAGAATTAGTTCAACAGTTAATTTTTATCAAAAAAAGAGAGATGATAAAGCAAAAGAAAAAATACTGAATCCACTTAAAGATGTTTTGGCTTGTCTGTGGACATAGATATTTAAACTCAATATATAATGTTAATAAATATCGAATATGAATTTATGTTCTTGTGTAATTTAAAAAGTATAAATGACTTTCGCAAAACCTAATATAAATGAATCGTATTTTAGTTATCTAATATCTGAAAAAGAAGATAGTGAGTATTTTATTTTTAAAATCAAAAAAGAATTTCGTTTTTAAAATAATAATCCATCATATAACAGTAATACCAGGGTCAAGTCAGATTTAATCAAAATCATATTAACATAGACAGAGTTTAACTTTCACTGATAAAATAGGAGAAGTACTGATTCAAGAACTTCAAAAGTGTTTGTAGGATGATTTTCATACTTTGGACATGGTGTTTTTCCTGATTAAACTCCGGTACTATCTACTTCTCATTAATTCTCAATTAATAAATGACGAATCCATTTTCTAGATGGAATGGCAATCCAATACTGGTAAAAAACTTAAGAATATTTTGTGATCAGCCAAAATACCAATGAGATATAACTAGTGAACTTGATAGTTTGGAGGGTCATATTAACCAAAACTTATGGGGAAGGTATGGAGCAAAATACTGATAAGAAAGATAAGTGTGAGAATATCCTTCCAGTTCAAACTGGTCCAATCCTTTTCTTCAAGGCAAACAAAAAAGATGGAACCAAAATATAAGTTATCTTTGTTGAAGGGCAAGCTCGCAAAATGGAGACCAAAATCATGCGTTATACAAAGAAGGCACTTAAGTTGATAAGCTCCCACATTTTAAAACAATAAGAGGCGAATGTCATAAATAATACAAACTTTTCTTATGTGAAAGATTTCTTGAAAAAAGATGATTATTAATCCTTAGGATGATTACTCATGGAGAATTAAGATTTCTAATACTACAGAAAATGGAATTTTTAAAAGCCTATCTAGCCATACTTCATCTTTAGAGAGACCGAAATGTTTTCGTCCTTAAAAGAAACGATGCAATATGGGTACGGTATAGCTGATTTATGGGAAATGAGGATAAAAATTTATTGGTCTCTAAACTAAGTTAAGTCAATGCAAAAGGTAATTATCAAGGATTTTTAATGGAGTAAGGCCTGGGTGGGTCTATTTGAATAATGAATAAGGAGATGTGTATTAGATAACAAAGTTAGAGGGAGTTAGCGACTTTGTATTTTCACCTAACCACCAACATACTAGGTATTAATTAAGGCTGTGTAAGCCTCTGCATTATCTAATGCTATACCTCATTCTTGTGAGAGACGATTAAGTTTATTTTTTCCCTTTTTATAATAATTTACAATTGGGATGGATTATGGCAATATTGGTATTTTGAATAATATCCCTCATTTTAAATACTAAGGTTAGCAAAAGATGGAATCGACGGGTTTTTATAACTAGACATTAAGCTAGGAATAAAGAACCTTCCAAATTTAAGCAGAATTTCCTGGATTTGACTAATTCAGTTTAAGTTGCAATAGTTTTCTAATTATGAAGTTAAAAATAAAAAATAACATATGAATGATCGCAAAATATATAATCTCTTATCAAAATTATTTTAATAGAATAAATATCTTGATATATAGTGCATATTCGAAGCCCTTGTTCATCTGTAGTTATTTTTTATGTTACAAACCATTATTAATTTTCTTCAGAATATTATGCGAATTCTTATTTTTACATATATGACAAATTATAGGTTACTAAGTTGTAACATTATAATTATACTGTGGTGCTTTTGTTCTCTATAATAATTCTAAATTAATAAAAGAAGGATACATCTCCTTGAGATATAATTGCAATATAATTCTAGTAAATATACAAAGAGAATTCATTTACTAATAGAAGGTGGACTAAAATATAGGACTAGATTCCAAATTCGTGAAAAATTGGGTCAATTGGAGAGTCAAATTAAACAAGATGTATGTAAAAACAGGCAACTCATAGAAAATACCTATAAGAATGTATTTATTGGAAACACTGAACTTACTCTTTATGTTAAAATTCAAAAGAACGAAAACAAAATACCAGTTGTGTTCAAAAATAATATCTAGTACATGGAAATTGAAACTGTCAATTAAGAGAGAACTTATATAAAACAACTTAAGTTAATTAACTTACCAAACTTTAAATAATCACTTCTGAATAATATTAAAAAAAGAAGTAGAATAACTACGCTTAACAAAATAAAATAACAGGGTAATAATCAATCGCCAAAATAGGACCCTAGAGATGGATATACATTTAGAAGATTACAAATGTATAGAAGTTTGAGCAGATTGACCTTATTTTGGAAGAGAGAAGGTTATATAACTACGGTATCTAAATAGTTAATGAATAACAAGTAGCGAACTAGTATTGCCTAAAGCAAATGATGTTGATGGTGATTTGTAGAATAATATCATAAAAAAACTGTGTGAAGTGAAATAAGCACAAAAAACTACCATTCAGGATTTTAAATTATATTTGGAAGAATACTTTAATGATTGGTGCTAACTTGAGTCATCCATTTTGTGTTGAATTTGTCAGATGTGCCCAGAAAAACACGACTTCTGATTGATAGTAAATGAAAAAGCTCTAGCACAATTGACTCTGGCTAAGAGATAGAAATAAATTATCTCTAATGTTGAAATAAACTTTCGTATGGAAGATAAACCTAATCAATTGAAATGAAACATCAATAATTGAAAATTAATTTAATTTAGGCGCAGTTTAATGTTTCTGTTGATTATTTTAAGGCAACCCATCCTAATTTGAGAAACACTTAAAAAGTTTGCAACAGGGATAGAAATTCTTGGGCCTTTAGAAGAGCTTGAGCTGTTCCTATTTTCTTCACCTAAGGCGCTGAACCAAAAGAGTTTATTTTATTGAAGGAAATTCTTTGGTTATTGAATTGATGCAGAGTTATAGATCATGTAAAATAAACATGACAAATGACTTAGAATACCTAATTTTGATTAATTCTTCAAAAGAAGCAAATTTTTAATACTTCTAAATGCCGATATTTGCTAATTTCTTGCATAGATATATTAGAAGTTGATAATTTAGAGGAATGCAAGAACATACTGGTTGGTTATTATCACATCATCAATTTAACTTAATATGCATAAAGGAGATATATGATAGATCGTCTAACTACGATTTGGAAATGAATTTTTCTCGTAACCGCCCACTTGTAAGTGATTAATATAGACTCTCAAATTATCTGTAATATCTAAATGATAATTAGTCTTTCCTTTAAGAAATAAATCGATCCACTTCTCTCCCCCTTATATGTAGTTTACATACTGGAAGATCTATGGCGAAGTTCTGG